CCCCCACGAAATCACATTTTGCCCCCCCAGGAAAAGTCCCTTTTTCCTAAAATTATATAAACAATCCAGCGAAGATTAACAAATAGATAAACGGAAAGTAAGTTTTAGGCTTTATCCTTTGTTCTTGTTTAACAAAATCGATTTAAATTGTTACTTTTTTTACCACTAAGTAATGATAAATTATTGTTAATATTTTTTTTTATTTTTTGGATGCTCAGAATGCAGGAAATAGCATTTCACGGTTTCAAATTTCAAAAATTTTCTTGGGATTATCCCTCTAATAAGTAATGATAAATTACAGTTAATATTCTTTTTTACTTTTAATTTTGTGCATTTTTCCATCTTTTATTTCAAATACAACTATAGTTAGCATAGATTTTAGAGCAAATTTGGATGCTCAGAATGCAGGAAATGGCATTTCCGTGGTTCAAATTTCAAAAATTTTCTGGGGGAGTACACCCCCACACACCTGACCATTGCTATCCTCCTCTAATAAGTAATGATAAATGATGGTTAATTTTTTTCACTTTTTGTGCGTTTCTTCCTTTATTTATTTCAAATAGAAGTATAGTTAGCCAGTTAGGATAAATTTTGGAGCAAATTTCGATGCTCAGAATGCAGGAAATGACATTTCCGGGAGTCAAATTTCAAACATTTTCTGGGGGAGTACACACCCAGACCCCCCAATTCATGCGTGGTATATTTGCCACACACGTGGCTTTCAGCCATTGCTATCCCCCTCTAAAATATCATCTCACAGAAAGGTCCCTTTTCAAAAAATGCCTCCCCCCCACGGGAAAATCCTTAAAATAGGCCCTGTCAATAGAATACCCTTGTTTAATAAAGAAACATATACAGTATACTTACTTATACCAGTGAATCGTATATGGTAGGAGTGGATTAAGTAGTTTGATATAAGTCATGTAATTTGATATTTATTTTTATGTGTACGTCATGCTGGGCATATAGTTTATTTTACTTATTGAACCGTAAGTCATTATTAATATTCATTCCAAAAGGCATAGCAGAGGCTGTGTTGGGATATTTAATTAAAACAATATAGATTCGCCGGCAGTTATCTTACAATGATTGAGTCTTGCTGATGCTTCAATTTTTGAATATAAGGCAAGAGGGCAAGAGGCAAGTTTATATAGTGTTCTTCCCCCCATGCAACCCCAATGGAAAGGCCATCTCGAAGCCCTTGAAAAATATCTGACCTCACTGGAAAAATTTAATCAACCCCTAGCGGAAAAATCCTTTACACCCTGCTGGAAAAATTGCCTTGCCCCTCTGGCCCTTCTGGAAAAATGACTTGACCCCATTGAAAATCCACATGGGAAATCATCCCAACCCCACTGGAAAAATGACGTAACCCTTCTGGAAAGGCAAATGTGACACTTTATCCCATCTGGAATTTCAGTTTTTATTATCTCCTCTGGAAAAATAGGTCTCTATACCCCTCTGGATTTTTGGTCCTCGACAGGGGGGGGTACGGATATTAAATGTAATAGCCCATTTGACGAAATATCGAAGGACACAATATCGAAGATAAAATATACTGCACTGCCTCAAAACTTCATTAAACTTCGTCGAAATCGTCTTTAGCCATCTATCAGTATGTAAAAGTACAACAACTGGATGATATCAGCGAGCTTCGGCGATAAAAAGCAAACAAGACGGCAAACTATGGCTGAAATGGTGTTTTCGTGGGGGGTGAGTGAATTAAAATGTATTATATTTAAAGAAAACAATGACAATCCTTATGAAAACTACAATAATTATATTAAATTAAGCATAGTTTTTCATCCCATGATAATTTTCTTTAGGAAATAAGAACATTAAATTTCTGCCAGGCATATTAGTTATTTTGTGCATAATCAGCAATTTACCTGGGGTGGTGCATAGTCATTTTCTGGTAAAATATTATACTTAGACAAATTTTTCCTTCCAATGACCACCCCTAAAAGCAACCCTTCTAAACACTATAAGCACTTCAGAAAGCCTGTCGCTTTTGCTTTTCGGAAGTTAGAGCTATGTCGGCACTGCCGTTTCAGGGCGGGGTAATTTTCAGGACTTTCGCCCCGGATTCAGGTTTTGGCACATATGCCATGTTGACCGCCATGGTCATTTTACCCTAAAACAGTTGAGATTACCTGTGCTAAATGAAATGCATACAAACATCTATACAGGTCCTAGACTATTTTGAATTTTATATTTTAGCCGACAGGTTTACAACTTTAATATAGCGATGCCGTTTGTTATTACTGTATTTATTTTTGAATATTTGAATAAATTAGCGTAACATGTCAATCAAACTGTCGTCAACGTAAATTCAGCCAATCACAATTCTCGGCGGCTGGCTGCCGAGAGTCATCAATTTGACTAGGGCTTTCGGGCAGGCTCTACTTTAAAAGAGCCGGCCACGCTGGCTATATTAGAATGCGAAAGCAACGTGATCAACCACGGCAAAAATAAATAAATAAACTGGAAAGAAAACTGGTCGTGTATTATCTATTGAATCAACTTATAAGGTTACAGGACTGGTTAAGACAGAGGCTATATGATTCAGAAGACTTTCACCAAGCCAATGTGCTGAGTTCACTATTAGCGGCTTGAAATGCGGGCGTTGTATAAGAAAAACATGAAATATTTGATTTGCTAAAACAGCGCGAACATTCTATAGGTCTTTAATTAGTTATTGATTTCGACTGCCATCCTGCAAAAGTCTATGCTTTTGCATGAATACAACGTATTGAAATTGTTACTATAAAATACTAGATATTTTGACATCAAACGACGTCAGATCTGACGACTACTTTACAAATACATATTTTTGCCATGACCGTAATTTACAACTTCTGTTACAGGCAAACTACGTCAAGCGTTCCTCTTTTGAGTTTCTAACTTGATTTTAATTTTCCGCATTACCTTCGCAAATATGAAAAACTCCCTTGCAAATCCCTTGAGGGAATTTATAATGTTCCTAAAATCCAATTAAATTTTCCTCAACTCCTGTTAGAAGTTCTTAATTTCCAGTTACAAGTTCCTAACTTCCTGTTCTGTTACGTGCATTATAATTGGCTAACAAAAATAATCCACCAATGACAACGCTCAGAACAGAACAGAAATTCAATAAATTAAAAGAGGAAGTTAGAAAAATTTAAAATTAGGAAATTTCCCTGAGTTGGAATACTGCAATAGCCGATAGGAACATGCAAATTACCTCAAGGGATTTTCAAGGTCAAATTTGCAAAGGTAATGAGGAAAATTGCAATCAAGTTAGGAACTCAAAAGAGGAACGCTTGACGTAGTTTACCTGTCATACCGAGGTTCAGATTTGACTTCCACTACCATTACCTCTTAAGCCTGATTTCCACTAGGCGGAATTTTGCGCGCGCAGCGGAAATTTTCTTTGTCTTTTCTAATTAGTTCCACCTGAGAAATCACAAAACAAAGAAAAATTCCGCTTCGCGCGCAAAATTCCGCCTAGTGGAATTCAGGCTTTACTGACTTAGTACACATCTGATTGCTTAATTAATGTTCCGACTTAATGTAGCAGGGATAGCGGAAGTCAAATCTGAGTCTCTTTAATATCAAACTGTGTACAGAAAAAAATTGAAGTAATTCTTAATTTTTACTCATGAATACCTTTTTGAATGCACTTCTCAACTCATTGTAATCCTGAAATCCAATTTGTTTCCTGACGACATACAGCCACTTTACCTGAATAATTTCTTTAGTTTTGTCATCCATCAACTCTCGTCCTTTCGTTGCAGATCCCGTGGCAACCTTACTGGGTGCAACATCATCAGGTATCCCACAACTTTTATTCCGATAACGTGCGACACGAACCTCTGAAAACTTACTCTCATTTCCTTTCATAAATTCAAAGGAGCTCATTTTCACAGCCTTCTTAATCCTTTCCTCATCTTGAATTCCCATGAATGCTGCAACCATCCTAACTACACTTTCTTAATCATCTTTCAAATCCTTCATCGACTAAATCATCTTTCAAAATTTCCTTCCATTCGAGATATTGGTGTAATCGTTTATACACAAGCTTTTCTAAAATTTTATTAAAAATCGAAAGAAGCGAAATAGGTCGATAATTATTTAAGTAGTTTTGTAATCCCTTTTTAAATACAGGAATAACCTTGGCTAATTTTAAACTTGTTGGGACAATACCAGTTGAAAGCGAGGCATTAAATATGATCTCGAGTGGTTGTGACACTACATTTATAATTAATTTTAAAATTGCAACAGGCATACTAAACGGACCAGTGGCTTTAGAACAATTTAGGTTAGCAATTTCTTCCTCAATTTCACCTGCTGTTACAGGAGAAAGAAAGAAACTGTCGTGGGAAGTCGACGGAATCAAATATTCAATTGGAGATTTATCCATAATTGTTGGAATCTTATTAGCTAAATTACATCCTACATTAGAAAAGAAACCATTAAAAGCATTTGCAATAGATTTGGCATCAGTTAATTCACAACCATTATCATTTATAACTTCAGGAACCTGGTATGATTTTGATTTAATATTGATTAAACTTTTGATGCCTTTCCCAATTTGTCTGCTATTACCACCCTTAGTATCAAAGAAATTACTATAGTAATTACGTTTACTTACTCTAAGCAGATGATTCAACTTATTTCTACACAACTTAAACTTGGTATGATAATAGACAAATTTTGTTTTTAAATATTTTTATATAATTTATTCTTTTTCCGTATTGATGTCTTAATAGCTGGTGTTATCCATGGTTTAGATTTTGTTTTAATTTCATGTTTTGATAATTGTTTAACTGGATCATGCATATCAACCACCTCTAAAATTTTTTTATAAAAGAAATCAAGCAATTTATCAGGGTTTTGATTCGACTCAAGCATTTCATCCCAATTGATAGCCTGGATGTCACATAATAAGGCACATTCATCAAGAGTTGAATAAACTCTCTTGTAGAATTTTGTTGAAGATGGAAGAGCAGAGTACTTTGTAATAATAGGGGAGTTTGGAAGATGATCTGAAAGATCATATATTAAATTCCCACTAATGGTGACATGATCCAGTAAATTGAAAAATATATTATCAATAAGTGTAGCTGAATGCTCTGTGATTCTAGTTGGTTGCAGAATTTGGGGCTGAAAGTGGAAAGAACTAAGAGTATTAAGAAAATTATTAGTATCTTAATGTGATTCAGATTTAAGATCTAAATTAAAATCTCCCATAACAGTGCAGTATTTATTTTCCCTATGAATCCTTTCAATTGCCACATTTATGTTGTTCATGAAATTATCAATGTTACCTCTTGGATGTCTATAAATAACACCACATAGTAAATTATGTTCAGAATCACTTACAATTTCAATCCAAAGGGATTTATATTCATCAGTGCAGGAAGACAGATCTGGTCTAATTTTAGTTTTTAAGTGATTGTTTATATAAAAACCTATAACTCCTCCAGCATTAGATTTACTGGGCTGTGATATGAAATTATACCCAGGTATATTAACATTACTGATTAATTCCTTATTTACTTTTGTTTTGATTTCTGTTAATCCCACTACAGAAAAAGAGTAATTTAATTCCGACGACAGGTGAACCAAAATATCGAAGTTTGCTGAATGACTTAATATAATAATTATCAATCAATCCTTCATTGTTCTCAAGTTGAGACAAAAATGTGAAAAATTCTGCATTTTGCACACAAAACAAACATTCAAAAACGTCGTTTGTTCATGTTTGTTTATTTCTTGTTATATACGTCTGTATATAAAGCTGCATGCCGTTTGTGCTTTAAAATTAGGTACCGCTTGTTCAATCTGCAGTGAACAATGTTATGTGCTAGCAGATAATTAACAATTATATTGAACGAAGTGATCGTGATATGAATTATCAAGGCCAAAGTATGTGTCATCAACCGAAGCCGAAGACTGATCACACAAACTAAGGCTGGCTTTTGATAATCTGTCATATCTTGGAAAAACCAAATTCAATAATTGTTTCTATTATTTATTTAAAAGATAAAAAAGACATACGCACCTGTGGGTTTAATTAATCGAAATAATGATCAGTTCTTTTTTCTATTTACATAAATTCATTTCTTCTATAAGTACGTTTAGATGTTTTAGATTTTCTTGGCTGTTTTCGTTGATATCTCTTAGCTTCTTTACTGTTTTAAAATTTGTTTCCCTTAAAACAAAGGTAGCACCATATTGTTTTGGACGTGTTTCCTCATTTCGTGCATGCATGTTCGTATTTCCACGGCATGACGTCATAATGCCGATGTAATTGTTTTCATATAAGTTATGACTGATATTATGACGTCATGTGATAATCCAAAACTATTCTGGAGCTACCACAAATCAAGATTTCATCATCGCGCATTTACAATGCTTACTTCTATTTACACATCTTCTCTATCTAATACAAATGTATAATTACTGTCAATACTGGGAACGAGGTTGATACAATCACTTCGGATGAAGTTGCCAACTTTTTTGAGCACAACTGTGAGCATTTTGGACGCGTCGACAGCAAGTGGACCGTATATACATTTGCTTTCTCTCGTTAATGAAGTTATTCGTTCGCTTTCGTGCCTAGATGTAGGTCAACTATTAAGCAAATAATTTAGGATATGTTTGTTTTTATTGTTAGATGTTACAAGACTCACACGTGGTATCCTTACTGTCCTAACGGTGCTAAATACATTGTTATTTACCGTGAACCATGTGCTGCTTTCTACAGTCGCTTTAACTACCTAAAGGATTGGATATTTCAACCTGGAGAACTTTCACTTCATGAATTTGTAAAAGATTTTCTACTTGCTCATGATGTACCAAAAAGTAAGATGAAAAATGCATCCTATTTTGTGCACTTGCTCAGTTGGTGTGAACACAGGAATGACTCGAATGTTTTATTTCTGTTCTTTGAGGATATGAAAGATGATTTAGAAAGTGTAGTTAGGATGGTTGCGGCATTTATAGGAATTAAGGATGAAGAAAGGATTAAGAAGGCTGTGGAAATGAGCTCCTTTGAATTTATGAAGGAGAATAAGGGGAAGTTTTCAGACGTACGCTATGCGCGTTATCGGAATAAAGTTTGCGGCGTACCTGATGATGCTGTAGCCAGTAAGGTTGTCACGGGATCTGCAACGAAAGGACGAGAGTTGATGGATGACAAAACTAAAGAAATTATTCAGGCAAAGTGGCTGGAAGTCGTTGGTAAACAAACCGGATTTCAGGATTACAATGAGTTGAGAAGTGCGTTCAAAAAAGAAAAGAAAAATTGTAATTAAGAAAAATTTTTAATTGATTTTAGAAACTTTCAAATAGTAGCAGTTTTTAGGCAGGCTCCCTATTGATCCAATATCTGCAAGTAAATTTTTAATTTATAATTATAATTAATTGCGTTGTCTGAGTTCAGTAGAAATTTGCATTTCCTTCGATGAACTTTTTGCAAATTTTCAAAGGTCAGGTAAATTTCTAGTGAGTAATAGTCAGGTGAATTTCTAGTCAGTAATAGGTAGATTTCTAGGCAACATTGATTGTGAACTCAAGTTAAGAATGTTAATTCGAATGTTCCGGATAAAAGGAAATCTAAAAGGCAAAGTTGAGAAATTTTGGTTCTCCAAAATGGAAGCATTGATAAGTCTTCAGCTAATCAATCTCGTTCCCCGAGCATGCCCGTTCGCAGGTTAGGGGTGGGCATAGCTCTGGAGAAATCGAATTGATTAACGTTGGATTTCCAACGTGAGTAAGTGAGTTCTGCGCATGCTCGGCACTTTGTTGCAAAATATAAACAAAGTATTTAGAATTTCTCGTCGAAAATTTGATACTTTTTACTCTGAAATTAATTGAAAACAACTAACAAATATGTACGAAAGCTTCGGATATTTGATAGGGATACAACTTGACCTGAAAAATACAAGGAGAAATTCGACTTTTCGAGCGAAGGCGCTTCGACTTGTATTGTTTATTTATAGTGTTTGTATACATCGTACTTGACATCTCCTCAAGAATGAGAGAATGTTTGCTGCCTATTAAACACTACGTATACCATAAATTAGATAAAATTAAAAATTTAAATTTGAAAGCACATATATAGTATATATGTCAAGGAAATTTAATGTCAAGGAAATTTAAAGTGCGTATGACATGAAATTTTTTCTTTTCTTAAATGAAAGAACTCTTGAAGTTGTAGTGTAACTTATTTTTCAGTTTCTTGTTTTTATGGTTTGTTCCCGAGATATTTCAATTTGTTTGATATGTAAATGAGTGTGAATATGTCCGCTAATTTATGACGTCATGTTGGTTGCAAGCTCAACTTACACTGGTTATAAATGTATTAACTCTAAAGACTGTTGATATCAGTTTACGTTTTTCTCCAGTGTTTTATCACATTTACCAGTGAATGAAGTTTGAAATTATCATCTTGGATGATAGCAGTGATATTCAACCATTTTGAAGAGCTTGCAACCAACATGACGTCATAAATTAGAGGACATATTCACACTTATTTAAATATCAAACCAATTGAAATATCTCGGGAACAAACCATAAAAACAAAGAAACTGAAAAATAAGTTACCTTACAGCTTAAAGAGTTCTTTCATTTAAGAAAATAAAAAATTTCATGTCATATGCACTTTAAACCTTTAGTCAAGTTTTAAAGACATCAACCGCAGGTCCACATTTCACAGCAAACTTTTTCTCATTCTTGAGGAGATTATATTGGGCCATTCCATTTAATATAGGCACCCCCCCCCATATTGAGGGGTCTGAATATCCTATGAGGGGGAGGGGGTTTTTACCTTAAATTTTCCTAGAGGATAGCTTAAGAAATTTTCAAAAAAATAGCGAAAATTAGGTGTTTTAGACTTTTAGTGATATCCAAGGGGGGTAAAAATGATATCCTAAAGGGAGTATAAAGAAATCCATGGGGTAACTTCCATAAATCGCATCCAAGTGGGATTCTAAAATTTTTATATCCTAAGGGGATTATGAAGGAACCCCTCAATAGGGGGGGGTGGGGGGGGGTGCCTATATTAAACGGAATGACCAATTTATCAGTAGAGGTCAAGTACGATGTATACGAACACTATCAGTACAAGTCGAAGCGCCTTACATCGAAACGTCGAAGTTCTCAGTGGCGGCGCCAGGCTTCCAAATTTGGGGGGGGGGCATTTGAGGGGCAAACTCAAATTTTGGGGGGGCAAGATAGAATTTTCCACCCAGGAAATTCGCCCCCCCCCCCTCAAAACGTGGCGATATTCCTAGGAATATCGCCCCCGGGGGCGAATATATATCCTAGGAATATCGCCTCCCAGGGGGGTGGGGCGAATACCCTAGGAATATCGCCCCTCTTTAGAACATTCGCCCCCCCATATATGCGATGTGGTTTATTCAAATAATTTCGTGACACTTTCATCTTATTATTGCCTTACACGTTTGAGAATTTAACTCTGCAAAACTAAAGCTTTTTTGTCTTTTTTTGAAACGTATTATTGGAGTATTGGCAAGTTTTACCATTCAGAGATTTGCAAACTAATGTTGAAACTGTAAAAAAACAGTTTCATGTATATGCGCATTCACTAATGAGTAATGACAACTTATAAGCCATACATTTTCCGATAACGACAGAACGCTTGTGTAGCCTTTAGTCGCTCTTAGTGACTAATAATTTTTTTTGAGGGGAGGAAAAATGGGGGGGGGGGCAAAAAAAATTTGAGGGTGGGGGCATTTGCCCCCCCCCCTCCCCCTTCCCACGGCGCCGCCACTGGAAGTTCTTCTTGTATTTTTCAGGTAGTTGTATCCTATCAATCGGAAGCTTTGGTACATATTTCTCCCAGAATTTTTAGTTGTTTTCAATCGATTTCAGTGTAAAAAATTTTCGACGAGAAATTCTAAATACTTTGTTTATATATTTTGCAACAATTGCCAAGCATGCATCGAACTCACGTTGGATTTCCAACGTACCGATCTGCCGCTAGCCAATCACAGGCCTGAATCAATTCGATTTCTCCAGAGCTATGCCCACCCCAAACCTGCGATCGGGCATGCTGAGGGAACGAGATTGTCAGCTAATCAGCTTGCATATTTTCTGTTGACTGTTGAGACAGTTGAGTTTCGCCATTCTGTGGTTTCGCGGTAATATTTCTGAGAATGTCTTCTCATGTAAGTGCAGGGATGCAGCTCTTTATGCAGAGAAGGTCTGTCTTCACAACAGAGGAAGGAGTAAGTCGTGGTTTAAGTTTTAAACCTCGCTCAGACGACGTGTTCGTCGTGACCCCACCAAAATGCGGCACAACATGGATGCAACAGATTCTACATCAGTTACGTAGTGGTGGCGATATGTCATTTGATGATATTAGCGATGTTGTCCCTTATATCGAGTTTGCCTATGATACCGAAGTAGATCTCGAGGCTGAGCACAAGTATCAGCCACGGTAAGATAAGATATTAGAGGGTTTTAGATTGACGTTTACGGCAAACGTCAAACCGGTAACGAAGTTTTTGATTTTACAACTCTATTATAACAGCTTTTACACCAGTTTTGAAATATATTAAACACTTATGAAACTTGTCGTACTTAACAATGATTCAAGAAAACAAATTAACCACTATAGGCATGTATTCACCAAAGCAGTAAATTAAGATTTAACGTTTGAAGTTCACGTTTGGCGTATAGATTTTATGCTTTAACGACTACAAACCCTCGTATAAGAGTTCAAGCATAAAATTTATACGCCAAAGGTCAACTTCAAACGCCATGGACCGGTTGTATAAAACTCTTAATCACTTTTTTAATGACTATTTTGTGGTTAAATAGTGATTAACTCTCAAATAGGCGTTTCTTATTGGATGACGTTTGCACTTAACCATAGTTAACTTTAATCACCTTTTATACAACCGATCCCAGATCTTAATTTACTGCTTTGGTGAATACATGACTAGTTGTTAATTTGTATTCTTGAATCATTGTTAAATACCACAAGTTTAATAACTTATAAAACGTACAAAGAACTTAAGTTTAATAAGTGTTTAGCCTAATATATTTCAAAACTGGTGTAAAAGCTGTTATAATGGAGTTGTAAAATCAAAAACGTCGTTACCGGTTTGACGTTTGCCGTAGTAGGCCTATACATACAGAGCTGCAACTGCATGGCCGTCGTACACTAGTTATAAGTTAGAGTTATAAACCGAGTAGGAGGTTTATAACTGATATATTGCCCCCGAGGACGCGTAGCGTCCGAGGGCAATATATCAGTTATAAACCGACTTTCGAGGTTTATAACTAACTTATATCACATTTGTGGAGGTTTTCTAACATATTTTGTCATTTTCAAAAAATTTTAAAGAAAAATTCTCGCGTTTTGTCTACAAGTTTAATCTAATCATTTATTCAAGGTATATAAGCTAGTTATAAACCTCGGACGATCAAAGAAAACCGACACAAATGTGATATAACTCTGTTTATAATATAGTATTTGTAAATTCTGAACGCTGATTGTCTAAGGTCGCGGTCACACTAGCGCTAGAATCGTGCTTGCTTGAACAAAATCTACTTGAATCGCTCAACACATCACCTTCCAAGCGCGCTTGTCATGAGTGTGACCGCGCAAAACACAAAACCCAAGCATGCTTGAAATCTGACACGATTTGCTTGAAATTTCAAAGGCGCCGAAGCACGATCCAAACACACTACAGGGTATGTTTGAATCGTGCTAGAATGTGGATCTCAAGTGGATTAAATAATTCAGCCAATAAAATGTGGAGTTTTAGGAGGCAAATAGACAAGTAATTTCAACATGTCATTTTTAATTTGAATAGAGACAGAACCGCGGTAGATTCGAACTATTTTGCTTACACAATTTGTCAACGCGCTAAGCAGTGAGTCGAATGAATAAACGATATTTCTGTATGGAAACCTGATGCAGAAACCAAATTCAAAATTTCAAAGTAATTTAGTTTTTGCCCGTGTAATTATATAATATACAATGTTAACATCCCTATTTAATACATATCATATGATAATGAATAACGATCGGGCAAGCGATTTGCGCCTGAACTAAGGACAAAGTCTAAACTTAGTTAGGCCTACGAAATCACAAGAATAATGTGTATTTGTTGCCTTTAATATAATGGACTTTAGATTATTAGATAGGTTTTTAATGTTTATCTGTCAACAACAGCAAGCAAGCAAACGTTGCTTTTTTGAGTGTGACCGCGACGTGCTTGGCTTGCATTCTAGCACGAGCTTGGTATGTGTTCAAGCAAGCACGCTAATCCGGTGGTAATCTCCAAGCACAAGCGCTAGTGTGACCGCGACCTAAGAGCCGTGTTGATATAACTCAATGTCAACACGGAAACGTCGGAAAATTTCTTTCTTTATATTTCTTTGTGCTATATTATAAAACAAATATAAAACATTTTTTTGGGCGTCGTGTTTTCACACAATTTCGAGTTTTCCCAATTTCTACTCGCGTTGATATATAGAGGATATTTATAGACGGTTGCGAAGAGATATGGATTTTATGTTCGAGTGGCAAAAACAATATCAGATATTGTTTTTGACACGAGAACATAAATCCATATCTTCTCGCAACCGTTTAATGTTCTGTTTATTATATGGACTTCTTCAGAGTGACAAAAATACACACTAAACAATGATACTTTTAATATGGTAAATCTGCCTGGTTATAACTTCATTAGTAATCATCGCCGAGGTAAAACAGGCGGTGGTGTAGGTCTTTATCTAGGTGATTATTTTCAGTACAAATTAATTGAAGACTTTAATATTTCTAATCCTGAAGTAATTGAGTCTCTGTTTGTTGAAATTTCAAACCCTCTTGGGAAAAACATTATTGTAGGAACTGTTTACCGCCCACCCAACCAAAACCTTGTCTCATTTATCGAAGACTTTAATAAAATCCTTTCTATTATTTCCAAAGACAACAAACAATGCTACATAATGGGAGATTTTAATTTGGACTTACTTCATTGTGATCATCATGCGTATACACAAGAATTTATAGACTCATTATTTTCACATATGTTTATTCCTCTTATTAATAAGCCAACGCGGCTAACTTCTCAATCAGCAACACTAATTGATAACATATTTACGAATTGTTTTACACAAAATATTGTAAATGGAATTATTCTGAACGACTTGTCGGACCACCTACCTGTGTTTGCATTATCTAGTACTAAATTTGAGAAACCAAATAATGAAACCACATATTATACTCGGGATTACAATGATTTAAATATTATCAAGTTTCAAACTAAATTATCACAGGTCGAATGGACTCGGGTCTTGATAGGGCAGGATCCAAATAGACTTTACGATGTTTTTGCCGAAGAATATTATAGGCATTTTGAGGATTGTTTTCCCTTAAAAATATCTAAGTTGAATTCTTGTAGGAAATCAAAATCACCATGGATTACTAAAGGTTTGCTGACTTCCGTTAAAAAAAAGAATAAATTATACAAAAAATATCTTGCAAACCCTACCCCTGTACGTGACTCTCAATATAAGAGATACAAAAATAAATTGAATCACCTAATTAGAATATCAAAGAAAACTTACTATGATAAAAAATTTGAATTAGCTAAAAGTGATTTGAAAACAACATGGAAATTAATAAATGAAGTCACTAACCTAAAACGTAAAAAGCCCTCACTACCGTCATCTTTTCGATCAAATAACATGACTATCAATGAACCCTCTAAAATTGCCAATGATTTTTGTAAATATTTTTCTGAAATTGGCCCATCCCTTGCGCGTAAGATTCCCCCAACAAATCGTTCATTTCATGAGTCTTTAGGCCCTACTATTAGTGAAACCATATTTCTTAAACCTACAACTGTTAATGAACTGAGAGAGATATGTATGTCGTTTAAAAATGGAAAAGCACCTGGCTACGACAACCTACCTATACATATCATAAAAAAATCGTTTGAATTAATATCTGAACCATTAATGCTGGTAATTAATTCTTCACTTGAGGCAGGGTTATTCCCAGATAAGCTAAAAGTAGCTAAAATAATTCCTATTTATAAAGCTGGTGAGGTAAAGTGCATTCACAAATTACAGAACAATTTCAATTTTGTCTAGTTTTTCAAAAATCTATGAAAAGGTCATGTATAATCGTTTGGTAGAATTTACTAATAAACTTGAAATCTATTACTGCCACCAGTTTGGTTTTCGAACTAACCACTCAACCAATCTTGCTCTTACTCACTTGATAAATAAAATTGCAACTGCTATTGATCAAAAAGAAATAACAGCAAGTGTTTTCTTAGATCTGTCTAAAGCATTTGATACCTTAAACCATGATGTACTATCTTCTAAGCTTGAGAGGTATGGGATTCGTGGAGTGGCATTAAATTGGGTACAGAGCTATTTCAATAACCGAACACAATTTGTTCAATATAACAAATTTTCTTCTGCTCGAATAGCCATACAATGTGGTGTACCCCAAGGGTCAATATTGGGCCCACTCTTTTTCATCCTTTATATTAATGATCTTCCAAACGCCTCACATTTAGTCAAACCACTATTATTTGCAGATGACACCAGGATTTGTTATGCTAGCTCCGATCCCATAGTATTAGCTACAGTATTAAATGAGGCATTACTAAATATTAGTACATGGATGAAAGCTAACAAACTCTCTGTCAATATTGATAAAAACAACGACTACATCATTTTCCAACCAACCCAAAAGAAATCCACGTATGAAATTCTCCTTCTTCTTGATGACAGATTAATCACACAAAAGAAACAGATCAAATTTCTTGGGGTCCTTATAGATCAAAATCTCTCATGGAAACCTCATATAAATTACGTATGCAAAAAAGTTTCGAAGTCTATCGGTGTAATATACAGAGCTCGTTTCAACTTGTCGAAAAGTACTAAATTGTTGTTATATTATACCTTAATCTATCCATATCTTATCTACTGCAACACAATATGGTCGTCTACATATGTTTCTAACTTAAAACGGTTACAAATTCTACAAAAGCGAATAGTTAGATTATTGACTAGTTCGAGCTTACTGCTCCGCTTTTTAAAAAATTGAAAATACTTGATATCAATAGGATTAATTCCTTTTGTACAGGTATATTCATGTATTCCTACCATAACAAATTACTTCCACCCCCCCTTTCTTAACTTATTTAGCACCAGCAACCAGTTTCATAATTATAATACTAGAAACGCTGACACATATCGTTCACATGCATGTAGAACTAATATAAAACAATTTACTATGCTTTCACGAGGTCCAAAACTGTGGAATTCGCTCCCTGACACCGTTAAGAATGCAGGGACGTTAAATTGCTTCAGGAATAGATTACGAAAATATTTACTTCAATGTTAAGCGATATAACTGCGTTCACTAGCTGTCGCAATTGCTTTAACAAAATACTTTTGATATATATACTTTGAAAAGCTTCAAGGAGATATCCAATTTATAAGACTTATGGTTTCTGGATAACTCCTTGCCACTAATATAACCACTGTAAATATAACAACATAAATTACCATTATATAAACAGTAACAGTATATTAGAAATCTGAAATATTGTAAATGGTATTGGTGGCTAATAAATCCTTATCTTATCTTATCTTATGTAAATAAGCACACGAAAGACCAGTGTAAAAGCGATATTTTTTAAAATTATAGTGCAAACATAAAACTAAAATCAATTTTACTTGTCCCAAGGTGTCTTTTAAATGTTTTCGTTTTATTTCCAACGTTAATTTCGTTTTAAATACGAACCAAAGACCATTTGTATTTTCAAAACAACAACAATGAAAATGGCGGGAAATTTTCGAACTTCGTATGTCGTTCGCAGGGATGAAATACGGAAAATACGCGCACTTGGTCCCGGATGTAGTGATGTATGAGTTCTACTAGTGTTTAATTTCCAGTAAAACACCATTGTCCATATAATAAAACTGTATATCAACACGGAAAATGTTTTATATTTGTTAATTATTATTAGTCCAGCGGAAAAGTAAAAAATCATGCACTTTGTGAAGAAAGCACCCAATTCACAGGAAGTGTAGACTTTAACATGATAATGAATCTTAGATATGGAGGCATCACCAAAATTGATGCTGACGGCTTAAAATTTAGGATGGCTTATATTCTCTTACTAAACTCTATTACTGTTTAAAATTGTGAAATTGCAGGTTCACATATAGCAAAAATGACTTGCATGATTAGAAAGCTTACAAAAAACTACATATAAGACTTTTAAACGGCTGATTAATTTTCCAAGCGGTTTTCAAGTTATTGCTATTTAAAAACGTGATAAATAGGCAAAAATCCCGCCAAAGTCCTAGACACTAGCCCTAAAACATATTTTCAACCGCTCATAACTCCGCGGAAGAAGTTGGAAAATCAAAGTAACTGCTTTTAAGCATAACTCCGGAGGAGTTGGAAAATCAAAGTAACTGCTTTTAAGCAGTTACTTTGATTTTCCAACTCCTCCGGAGTTATGCGCGGTTGAAAATATGTTTTAGAGCTAGTGTCCAGGACTTTGGCGGGATTTTTGCCTATTTATCACGTTTTTAAATAGCAATAACTTGAAAACCGCTTGGAAAATCAATCAGCCGTTTAAAAAGTCTTATATGTAGTTTTTTGTAAGCTTTCTAATCATGCAAGTCATTTTTGCTATATGTGAACCTGCAATTTCACAATTTTAAACAGTAATAGAGTTTAATAAGAGAATATAAGAAATCCTAAATTTTAAGCCGTCAGCATCAATTTTGGTGATGCCTCCATATCTAAGATTCATTATCATGTTAAAGTCTACACTTCCTGTGAATTGGGTGCTTTCTTCACAAAGTGCATGATTTTCTCAAATATCTGTGCATATCCGCTGGACTATATATGGACAATCGCAGGGGCATAGGAAGCATCAACCGGAAGTAGATTTGCGCCGATTGAAATTGGGTTAATTTTTGTATTCGATAAAAGCTCTATCCAGTCTATTATTAGATCAGTGGTGAAGCTTCATTAATATATTACCAGATCATTGATGAATTTTTTTATCACTGCACATTCCTTAAACAATATAGGAGGTTGCCAAGATAACGCCCTTTAAAGAGTCATTGTCAACCACAATGCAATTGTTTACATATCTTACCTTCGGAAGTGAAATATAGCAACAAATGACGATTATAAACATTTCTTTGGTGCAATTTTAGTATAAAAAAGTTAAAATGAGCAGGTATAACCATAGGGTGGTAGTAATATATTATGGATTGAAAACCGAAACATCTATTATTTTATCTTACATCTATTATTTCGAAAACCGAAACATCTATTATGCGCACAATGCATTGTGGTTGACAATGACTCTTTAAGGCTCGTTTACACTTGCAATTATTGCGGCGATTTCTACATTTCGATTTTGCCTGAGTTCCTGTGATGCATGTGAAGAACTAGATGAGTTATGAATGTTCTGAGTATATGTATCCTCATCTGAACATCTATAACTCAGAAGAAGAAAATGCTTAGCAATTAGTTCTAAAAGTTAATGCTCTGGTTTTCGCCGCTGCCCAAATATAATTACTCTTCTGTATCTTTTTTTCTTTGGCTATACAATAAGATTGACATCATCCCCGAGCCGACGGCACGAAGCGCCGTGCGAGGGTACTAATTCCCCCCAGCTATTTACACCCGGGGAAACGAAAGCATTAGCGAAGTCGAAAGTTCATCAATGGACCATTTGCATTATAGACTAAATTTTGATCTAGACAAAAATTTCGTCACAGCTTGAAAGAGCATCACAAAATTAGTAATATTCCAAAGTTTCGTTCCGAAATGTTGTAAAATGCGGATAATATAGACATGCGAAGTTTGCCGTTTTTCAGTCATTTTAGATTACAAACGGGAAATTGACAGCCCAATCGGGTGTTGGGCATCAATTTCCCGTTTGTAATCTAAAATGACTGAAAATTGCAAACTTCGCAAGGCTATATTATCCGCATTTTACAACATTTCGGAACGAAACTTTGGAATATTACTAATTTTGTGATGCTCTTTCAAGCTGTGATGAAATTTTTGTCTAGATCAAAATTTAGTCTATAATGCAAATGGTCCATTATCGCGGGCGTGGGTGACCAACAATGTTGGGGTGGGTGGTCATCCTCACTGATCCCAAAAATATGGCGGACTGTCATGCATGAATAGCGGACACTGGTTGGTCCAATTTAAAGTTTGCATTATAACGACTGCATGACGACAGCGAAATAGTAAACATTTCTTGATTTGATGATTGATAAATTTCTTGCAAATATATTTCTAGGCCGTATTCCCTGGCCCCAAAAGTCGCTTAGAAAACTACTTTAAATTTACATGAATCTATAGATTTTTATACGCTGAGTTCGAATTCACTTGTTGTGACTCGCACAAACCTGCAGTTTTTTTGTATTTTACGATCAAACATCAACATTTTTTATTAACATTTCCGCCATTTTGTTCAGGAAACTTCATGTTATATACAGTTATTGTACTAGTTCAAGTCTCTTAGCAGGGGGTTGCACGCGGTATTACGCATTTTTTATCATTCTTCTGAGGAAAATATACAGCTAGAAATAAATAAAAATATAGATATGTTTCCACAATATTAAAGTGCGAAAGGTAATAATACATGTTTGTAAATAATCAGGAACTAATCTATTGTTCTTGTCATCCATAAAGACTCACTTGTCCTTGGTAAAGTTGTTTATTTTATTTATTATTGAAATTATGTACATAATTTTAGCCTTGCAATGTGAACAGGCAATTTTCCTGGGTATTGTCTACCTGAAATTTTTGTCAACAATAAAGTTTTGAAGGTTTTATCCCTCAGAGAGATTTCAAAATAAATTTTAACTTTGAAACTTTCTAATCTCCTAGGCGAGCCAGCCCAGGTAACCCGAGTTGATTTCATCCCGTGTTTACAAGAGACTTTTGAGGCGGGCTGGTTCGCCAAAACAGATCACTGTTATAAATAGTATAATATAATATTTTCTACTTCTCAAGATCTTGCCTTGACAGGCCAGCCCAGTTCCATATAAATGCAAGATGAATATTAGTTTAAATTACATAGCGACGTTAGATCTTGGCAAAGCGAGCTAGCTCGGGTACTCCCTAAGGAAATGAAGAAATGTTATTTACATCAATAGATTGATGTGAATAGAGTATTATTTAATGCCCAGCTGTTATCCAAGATCTAAGACATGGAAAAAAAGAGTCTTGGCTAGGCAGCTAGGCTAGCCCAACTGGAAAGAAGGTTTGTGTAACTAATGCATATTGGTAGGTATAGTGATCCCAGATTACTTTAATTAAATTTCTAGTGCCTGCCTGGCCAAATATAAATTAATAAAGTATCCCTCCTCCAAGTGCTTCGTAATGAGTGGCAGCTCAAATAGGATTAGAGCTTATTAAGGTAAGGATGTATCATGACAATATGTTGTTAAACCTCATTATGGCTCAACCAATTCAAATGGCTCAACCAATTCAAATGGCTCGACCAATTCATGTCTCTAGGTGGCATGACTTTGAGATTTGCTTGTGTGAATATAATTTTTTGCTTAGTACCTTTGTTCCAGCAAGCCCATGCATATGCTTGCCTCAACAGTGTCACATAAATTGAAACACCAAGCAAGCTATTGTAGCTGTAATCAATTGGGGCTATGTCCTGTATGGCCACCATTTGCTAATGTAAATACTTTAATAACAATAAAGTGATTAAAAAAATATGGCTAATCTACGCTGGGTTAACTCCATATCAACAGACCAAAAGTAAGCTGTCAGTCTGTCTTAGAGTGAAAGACATCTTCCAAAAGTTCTTTTTACAAAGCTCAATGTCATGATAGCAAAAATTTTATTATAATACAAGAAAATGGAACATACCATAGTTAATAGAATAGATGGTTTGGAAACTCATTAGAATAACAATATATATACCTCATTATCTACAGGTATGCTAGTCAACGTTTACAGAGGTGTAACTTAACACTTGCCCGGGGCAAGTGAATATCATGACGGGCAAGTAAACGTTTTATCTTGCCCGATTGGGCAAGTTGCCTCTTGCCACAAAAAGCTCGGCTTTCATTATCGGATAATTTTTTTATGGCGCATGTACTTGATTCAAATTTTGTTTTTTGTGGGCCAAAGCTAGATCTAAGGCAGTATAACATAGCCACATAGAGAATGAGTTGACATGTTGCCCCCTTGAGTTATACCCCCTGGCAAATGAATTTTATTCAGGGCAACTAATTTTCATGTCCAATTAACTTGCCCTGAAAGCAAATGGTCAAAAAAGTAAAGTTACACCACTGGTTTATTCATAAATCTGGTCTCTGTATTTTTGCCCAACTAACCAATAGCAATGTCTTAGGAAAGTTACCTATCCGTGACTCGAACAATAGGGTAAATTGAAAATTGCAAGAATACAAGGTGGATTTGGCAAGAATACAATACACACATGAGGATGAAGGACCAGATTTATGAATAAATGTTGACTAACATAAATAACGAGTTTGAGAGTTTCAGCCAAACTATCTATTCTATTAACTGTGATGGAACTCATTATGTGCAGATTTACTAAATGGATGAGCTAATTTGATTGAAGTTAACTGCTACTAATGGGCAATGGTCTATTTGTGTTAATATTAAAATTACCCAGGTGACTATAGGTCTAACATTTTATACTATTGTAACAACAAATAGGTCTAACATTTATTAATTAAACAACAATATATTGTGCTCCTTATTCATTGTTAACAAAAATTTGAAAGAAAAATTGCCTATTCACATTGTAAGGCTAAAATTATGTACATAATTTTAGTAATAAATAAAATAAACAACTTTACCAAGGACAAGTCAAGTGAGTCTTTGTGGATATAGACCATATAGTGACAGTCTTTGCAATTTCACATCAAGGTGAGGCCAAAAACCCAAAAGTTGGCGCAATAAAGAATAGTAGATTAGTTCCTGATTATATACAAACATGTATTATTACCTTTTGCATTTTAATATTGTGAAAAAATATCTATATTTTTATTTCTGTATATTTTCCTCAGAAGAATGATAAAAATGCGTAATACCGCGTGCAACCCCCTTGCTAAGAGACTTGAACTAGTACAATAATTGTATATAACATGAAGTTTCCTGAACAAAATGGCGGAAATTTTAATAAAATATGTTGATGTTTGATCGTAAAATACAAAAAAACTGCAGGTTTGTGCGAGTGACAACAAGTGAATTCGTACTCAGCGTATAAAAATGTATAGATTCGTGTGAATTTAAAGTAGTGCCCGAAGGGGGGCAACAAAACTGAACGAAAAGCGGTCAGGGAATACGGCCTATTCATTTTTGCTCGCATTTTTGCAAGATTTTGTAAATTTCAGAAGCTCTCTTCGAAAGAAACTGCGAAAGAATCGGCTAAAAGAAGGGAGCCGACGTTAACGAAGGTAAGTTTGTTTTGAATATTGATTTTATAATGCCCCTTTAAAACCCGACGGCCTTTGCGTATATGAAACAGCTAAACAAGACAGCATATAATATCAGTGTATCTTAAATATTGATTCCCTTTTTAAATAAAAAAGAAAGCAAAGTTATTTGCAAGCGAGAATTTGAAATCATTTTATTGCAAACTCAAAGTTTATCGATAAAGCCATTTTAAAAGGCAGTTTAGTTTTATAAAGAACAATAGTGATTTTAAAACGTTTTGTGAAGCGTTTGTGGTTGAATTTTACATTTAATTGAGGGTTCTATTATGTATAATAACATACCTAACATATATATGTTGGGAAATTAATAATTTTGTAATTAAAAGTGATATTTTTAGGCGGTTTTTCATTTGTAAGAATATTCTTAAAAAATTATCGTGTTACCATGACAACTACTTTAGATTCTTCATGTTCGGAAAATACAATGGTTTTGTCAGCAAGGCGAGGGTTTCTGCATGCATGTATTTTCTAGTATTTTTGATATAATGAACCTGTTGTACATGTATTAATTATATTTATTATATAAAGTATAGTGCTTTATGTACTGTTTAATAAACGAGCAGGAGTGTTTTATTAGGTTTAAAGCCACGGGCGCGCAGCGCGAGTGGCTTTAGACCTAATAAAACACGACCTGCGAGTTTATTAAACGGCTTCAAACACGACTACAAATTCAATAGATATACTGCCTTATTAGTATTCTTTATATAAACTGAAAAATACTAATGAGGACACGACTACAATAGAGACTGCCTTATTAGTATTCTTTATATAAAGAATACTAATTAGAAGTGTTTTATCAGGTTTAAAGCCACTGCACGTGACATATTATGGTTGGCATGATTTGCCAATAAGCTTATGAATTATTAATGAGTGTTTGAAAGAGATTTCGAGCACTGATAAAAGTGATAATCTCACATGTGAGATTATTCATGATAATCTCACATGTGAAAATTATCGCTTTTCAATTATCGCTTTTCTGTAAAAATTATCGCTTTTCAAAGACTGTATTATTCTCTATTTAGCATACTGTTTAATTTAGGGAAGACAGCTGCAGATTGAGAGAGATACAACTACCTGAAAAATACAAGCAGAAATTCGACTTCTTCAGCGAAGATCCTACGTCGGGAAGTTTTAGCGACGAAGGGCCTTCGCTTGAAACGTCGAAGTTCTGCTAGTATTTTTCAGGTAGTTGTGTCTCTCAATACGCAGCTCAGTGTCTTGTTATCGTCGCCACCTACACATGGCACCGACCGTTCTTGTATAATTTAGGATATGTTTTGTTCTCATTATTAGATGTTACAAGACTCATGCATGGTATCCTTGGTGTCCCAAGGGTGCATCAAAATACATTGTCATATACCGTGAACCATGTGCTTCATTCTACAGTTACTTCAACTTCTTAAAAGGTTGGATATTTCAACCAGGGGAAGTTTTACTTCATGAATTTGTAAAGGATTATCTACTTGCCCTTGGACTACCAAAAAAGAAGATGGAACGTGCATCCTATTTTGTCCACTTGCTCAGCTGGTGGGAACACAGGAATGACTTGAATGTTTTATTTCTGTTCTTTGAGGATATGAAAGATGATTTAGAAAGTGCAGTTAGGAAGGTTGCAGCATTTATAGGAATTCAAGATGATGAAAGGATTAGGGAGGCTGTGAAAATGAGCTCCTTTGAATATATGAAGGAAAATGAGAGAAAGTTTTCAGAGGTTCGTCTCGCACGTTGTCGGAATAAAAGTTGTGGGATACCTGATGATGTTGTAGCCAGTAAGGTCGTCACAGGATCTGCAACGAAAGGACGAGAGTTGATGGATGACAAAACTAAAGAAATTATTCAGGCAAAGTGGCTGGAAGTAGTTGAAAAACAAACTGGATTTCAAGATTACAATGAGTTGAGAAGGGCATTCAAAATGGAACAGATGAATAGAAATTAAGAATTACTTCAATCTGTTAGAAGTACACTGTTTGGTATTATAGATGTTCAGATTTGAGTTCCACTACCGCCACCTCTAACTGGCATAGTACGCATCTGATTGGTTAATCGAATATATCAAACGCATCTGATCGGTAGATTGTCCCTTAGTGGTAGTGGTAGCGGTAGTGGAAGTCAAATCTGGACCTCTATATTAACAGAAGATTGTAAAATAATGATGGGGAGCCACGCTATAGCGTTTTACAAAAATCATTTAATGACAGTTGTATTAAGTGAACACAAATAATGATTGAACAGTTCAATACTTTGAAATGCATATTCTAACTCTTCCAGTCTCAGCTACATGTTATAATTCAACTGCAATTTATCCCGAGGCAGATTCGGATGCGCAGCAAATCCAAATAGGATTTGGTTAAAAGTCGCGAATAGTGCGAATAGTCGACGAATAGTGTGAAATCAATATCGACTAATAGTCGAGAATATTTCGCATCAAAAGATAGTCGAAAGAGAAATTGGACGTTCTGTCAGGTATTTTTAAAAAATTATAATTTGTCTAATAAAAAAAACAACGGAAAATTATAGACAATTATAGTTTTTAATTTTCCGTTATCGTTTATCAGGCAATTTATAAAGTCATATGAGACAATTTATATATCAATGTAATATTAGACAATTTACAATGTCACTGAACACTCTTACTTGCCTTGTGCTCACAAAACATACCCACAGTACATATTTTGGAAATTCATTGTCGTATAGTTAGAAGTACTAATCTTTCAACTACTTTTGCCGTTTTGCACAAAAAAATATAATAAAAATTTAAAAATCTAAAATTATCGTTTTGCCATGGCAGTGGCGTTCAGTGCTGGCCAATAAATAACTAATACTTCATATCAAATCAATGTTTGGAAAATATTGACGAGGGGTTGCTGCATGCATGTATTTAAGAAATAGAACACACGAGTCGCGTGCGTTTATAATTATGGTGTGATTATGCACGCGGGGGATGTTGGGAGAATAAGAGAGAAAGTGTAGCCGAGTGTTTTACACGCTTCTCGAGCAAGAGACGAGTTTTTCTTTTCTTTTATAATGCACGAGACGAGTTTTTCTATTTCTTTTATAATATAAGTGGAAGATAATATTACATGGTAAACAATTTTACACAAAAGATCGACTTTGAAATTCTCCTAACATGTCCTCAGTGACGTCACGTGCATGCTTTTACCATTAATCTGTGCTTTTACTTAGTGGTGGGCGATACCACGAGTGTCGATTCGATACGATACCGATTACTTTTTCGTAATTCGTAAAAGTATCGCGGTATCGATTACCCAAACGATTACTTCCTCCAATTTTGAAAATAATAAATGTAAGTCAATAAAGAGCCGACGATATATTTTCAGAAAGTTACATATTTTTAACAGTAACGATTTGATTCGCCATTTTAATCCATGAAAAAACAAAAATTTATACTCACTGGGAGTTTTCTCTCACAATACCATATAATTTGAATATTTATACATGAGATGATTAGTTGATCATCCATATACACCATGTGATTATCAGACAGTATAAAAGTCGCACAAAATCGGTATTTTTGAGCATTTGCCACCGAAAAGGAAGGACGGCGCTGAAATGTTTTGGTCATCCAAGTCACAAGTGTCGACCTTGGGAATTTAACGAAACGCCTTCCTTACACAGAAGCAAGATAAAGCTCACCAACCAATTTGACTTGTCACGCATGTCGAGCATGATGCGAATCATCCTTCTCAACCGGCTGTACTTGGGAGCAGCTATCGGTTTGTTCTCACTACAGAATTTAAGTGGGTCGTCCCTGCCGTAAAGCCTATATACGTTTTCTTCAACATTACGTACAATTTGTTGCAACGGCATATATATTACACATCGCCTGCCCTTGCGACCACCGCAAATTTTCCAGGTAGATAATTCTCTATAATTCTGATTGTTAACGTCCAGGAACGCTGTAATTTTCCGCATCTGCATGTGTTCGTATTTTCCACACATTCTCTTATATTTTATAACTCATAACCGTTGTATTACTTGTCGAGGCAGTCGAGCTTCACTGGCACTTAGTTATTTGAATCCAAACGGATCCGTATTAGGGGCTGTTTATATGGTCCCGCAATTGAAATACGTGTTTCAACCCTAAACAAAAGTTAGATAACTTTAAATATTGTTTAATTTAAACGAAATTAGGAATGCGCTAGAAGTTATACTTATGTTAAAAAGACGATTAATAGCATTCAACAACATTTGTTTTTTGTCTAAAACATGGAATATCATACAATTTGTAATAAGCAATTTTGTTAGATCATAAAGTACGACTTATTTCAATTGCTCAAAATACGTCACACTTCATTGAATCCCAGATAACGAGAACAAACGGATAGCCTCGTTAACTGAACGACTGTACAGTTCACATTCATTCAACTCAACTCTATTGGCTGAGACAAGTTTAATATCATTTTCGTTTCTTTAGTTGAGATATCGTAGCCTTAAAATTCTTTGTGATTAGCTTTGTATTCCTGATATAAATTACTGCACCATCTGTACGTACAGGAAACAGTGGTGTACAGCTACTACAGCAAAACATTAATGAATGAAATTTAATGTGAAATAAATCAAAATAATGTGAACGTTTCTAACCATAGCCTAACTATTGCTTGCAACGCATAGCCTAACTGGAGAACTGCTTGACTAGCATTTCTTTACTTTTCAAAAGACCCCACTCCCAGCCTGTACTTTACACTTAATGCTGAGTGAGCGCTTTTCAAAAATATTTCTCTTATGAAGCAATTTGCATGAGTATGTTTATAAACTAAATGCAATTTTGTATGCGCATGCATTTGTGATTAATTGAAGTGATTTTGGCTTCTGTTAAGGCAAAACGAACCAGTTATATCGCTCATCGCTGTTTGCACTTTCTGCAGATGCTCAACAAAATGGATATGATATGAATTTATTGAATTATAACCATGTTACAACCGCTGAACATTTCATCCAGGAGACTCAGAATATTAGAGAATGAGATAGAAGATATTCATAAACATAATTTATGAAAAATTAATCGCTAACAGCGAAATTGTGGTAATTTATATTACAACATTTATCTTGAAGGAATGTAACAATCAAAGTTCATGAAATAGTTCATATTATTTTGAAAAGTTGATGAAATGTTCACAAACTCTTGTTGTTCATAAAAAGTTTATGTCGAAGACAAAAAGTTCATAGAACTGTGAATTTTGTTCATGATCTGGCATCACTGATTCTAGTATATTCTACAAGCTTCTACGAATTAGCACTAAATTAGCACGCGTAAACGTCGTTTACTTCAATTCCGCCTCAAACTTCCCCTTCCGCGACACTGTTGTCTTTTGAACATTTTCATGGTGGCTGGGCTCTATATAACCCAAAAAGTACCCCGATTTGAAAATCGTGCTTCCATGCACGCGCTGCAAATCTACATCTCGTTCGTGTTTTCTTTTGAAATGACAAGCTTTTGACAAGCTATTAGGCCGTATTCTGTGGCCGCTTATCGTTCAGTTCCGCTGCCCCCATTCGGGGTCTACTTTTAGTTTACATGAATCTATAGATTTTGATACGCTGAGTACGAATTCAGTTGTTGTAACTCGCACAAACCTGCAGATTTTTTGTATTTTACGATCAAACATCAACATTTTTTATTAAAATTTCCGCCATTTTGTTCAGGAAACTTCATGTTATTTACAGTTATTGTACTAGTCCAAGTCTCTTAGCAGGGGGTTGCACGCGGTATACGCAGTTTGTTATCATTCTTCTGAGAAAAATATACAGAAATGAAATAAAAATATAGATATTTTTTCACAATATAAATGCAAAAGGTACTGGTACATGTTTGTAAATAATTAGGAATTAATCTATTATTCTGTATTGCACCAACTTTTGTTTTTTTTTGGCTCAAACTGCGTATACCGCGTGCAACCCCCCTGCTAAGAGAATTGGACTAGTACAATAACTGTATATAACATGAAGTTTCCTGAACAAAATGGCGGAAATTTTAATAAAAAATGTTGATGTTTGATCGTAAAATACAAAAAAACTGCAGGTCTGTGCGAGTTACAACAACTGAATTCGTACTCAGCGTATCAAAATCTATATATTTATGTAAACTAAAAGTATTCCCCGAATGGGGGCAACGAAACTTGTTTTCTAAGCGACTTTTGGGGTCACAGAATACGGCCTATATGGAACCAGTGGCGCCGTGGGACCCATGTTTTTCAGGGGCCCAAGGGCAGTGCTTTTCCGACAAATCGAAAATCCCCCCCCCCCTCCCGTCGACAATTTTGACAATTTCCGACAACATTGACAATTTCCGACAACATTGACAATTCTCCAACGGGTCTCAAACAATAGAGGGAGGGGGCATGCCCCCCCCCCTGCACCCCCCTCCCGGCCACGGCGCCACTGTATGGAACTTTTTGAACAAGAGGGGACTTTTGTCTACGCATTCGCGCGAAGAGTACACGTGAGCGCGGCGTTTATCGCGTGACTGAATTCTAAAAACGAACAAAAAGGATATGCAAATTTACCATACTCATATTATGAAGGCGTTTTCTTGTTTTGTTATTAAGCGACCTTAAGCATGTAGGGCGGGAACGCGACTGCGACGGCAAAGAAACTCGTTAAACAATCAGTGGCGGCGCCAGGCTTCCAAATTTGGGGGGGCATTTGAGGGGCAAACTCGAATTTGGGGGGGCAAAATAGAATTTTTAAAAAGGTCGCCCGCCCCCCCCCAGGAAATCCCCCCCTCAAAACGTGCCGATATTCCTAGGAATATCGCCCCCGGGGGCGAATATCCTAAGAATATCGCCTCCCAGGGGGATGGGGCGAATACCCTAGGAATATCGCCCCTCTTTAGGACATTCGCCCCCCATATATACGATGTGGTTTATTCAAATAATTTCGTTTGAGAATTTAACTCTGCAAAACTAAAGCTTTTTTGTCTTTTTTTGAAACGTATTATTGGAGTATTGGCAAGTTTTACCATTCAGAGATTTACAAACTAGTATTGAAACTGTAAAAAACAGTTTCATGAGTACGCGCATTCACTAATGAGTAATGACAACTTATAAGCTATACATTTTCCGATAACGACAGAACGCTTGTGTAGCCTTTAGTCGCTCTTAGTGACTAATAATTTTTTTTGAGGGGGGGCAAAATGGGGGGGCAAAAAATAATTTGGGGGGGGGCATTTGCCCCCCCCCCCTGGCGCTGCCACTGTAAACAATAGAATAGAATAGAAACTTTATTTCACGAGGGAAAACGTATTAACCGTAAAAGTTGTCTAACATACGGCCCTCGCAATATTTTGATATTTACAGGCATAAAAAGTATTAAGGATTACGACTATTTACATTTGAGAAAAAAATAATTAGTAATGAATACAATTACAATTTAGTAAATATTTACAATTTATACAAAATAGATCTTCGATATGGTTAGTAAGGGTAAGCTATAAAAAACGCCAATTTTGTGGCAATCGACATACTAAACGTTCTCGTGTTGAATATGAGGGAGAGGGTGAGCCAGTAATGCAAGAAAATAACGAGGAAAGCGAGGTTTATTTGAGTGCTGATGAGGGCAACTTGGGCGCCATTCCAGCTGGAATTTCAGTGTCCTACAGGAAGCTTCAGCCTCGTGTTCGGCAGAATTCCAGTGAGAAAAGAACCCCTAAACCTTCAACAGAAAGTTCTCAAGGCATTTATGGATTCAGGCTTTGTGATATGGAACTTATTGGAAATGTTTTTTCCATATTTGTCAGCTTCCCAGGATGTATACAACACAATGGAAGAAAATAGTATCAAACGTAAAGGTTGTGCTTCTAAACTCCACCTCACTTGCCAAAATTGCAAATGGATGCATTTGTCTTGGATTTCAAAACGAAAAACAAAAGATTTTTGAAGTAAATTGACGATTAGTGTATGGAATGCGAATGATTGGGAAAAGTCATGCTGGTGCATCAAAGGTTTGCTCAGTCATAAACATGCCACCACCACCTAGACCAAAGTCTTTCAAGAAGTCATCTCGTGTCATTGCTAAGCATGCAAAGACAGTTGCTAAGAAGAGCATGAAAGCAGCTGCAAAAGAAGTGTGTGTTTTGCAACAAAATGAAGATGTTGATGGAACAAATCCTGTAAACTGTGGTATTTGATGTGACGGTACCTGGCAACGAAGGGGACATTCATCATGTAACGGGTGTGTTACGGTTATGTCGATGGATACCGGGAAAGTTCTTGATGTTGAGACACTGAGTCACTGACTACATTTTGCAAAAGAGGCAATCATTGAACTTTTAAATCTACTGGATATTACTCCTGGCAAGTATACAGAAGTGGCTTGTCAACTTGAAGACAAGTTGAGAGTTTCGCATGCAGAACACAAATCCACGCCCGAAGTTAAAAAGAGGCGTAAAGTGATGAGAGGACTGAAAAAACAAAAGTGTGACAAAAACAAACAGGGGGAGGGAGTAAAGTATGGTGCTGGAGAGTTCTATTGACTTTTAGGGACATGAAGTGTTTTTGGTAGCCAATTACATAGTATGAAAAGTTTAAACTGTATTTTCTCCAATAAACGATTTTCGCAAGGTTTGTAATCTGCCAACAATGATATCTCAAAAACAATTTAACAGATTTGGCTAAAATTTTCAGAGGATGTTTACTTCATCAAAAGCTATGCAATGAACTAGAATGAAGTCATTAGGTCAAATACTTTTTGTGCTATAAGCAAAAATTCATGCTGGTCATGATTAAATTTCAGGCACACATATTGTTTCATTCAGAACTTAGAAACTATTTATCTGATTTAAAATCTTTTAGTTCATTGCATGGGTCTAGTAGTGCTTATTATTTTCCCAAAGTTTCATAGACAAATCTTAAATTGCTTTCGAGTTATCATGTTTGGCGCAATGGTCCGCTGCAAGGCGTTTCGAGCTGTTATCTTGGTAACCATGGCAACAGCATATGTCGAACTCACATAAATGTAAATACTTTTCTATGGGCTTTCATAATATACCATTTAAACTTTATTTCTAGTCTTAAATATAAAAAAATAAATTTTGAGGGTCATTCCACGTTTAAAATCGGACACATTTTACAGCCAATTCCATATCATATATGTTGATACGTTCTAATTTAACACGGTTCGTCGCCATATTAGAATTAGCCAGCGTGGCCGGCTCTTTTATAAGTAGAGCCTGCCAGAAAGCCCTAGTCAAACTGATGCCGCCCACTTAGTTAATATTCCATATTAACACCGCCCACTCGAAATAGTTTTGTATAAATTGATGACTTAAAATTTTAATTGTTGCATATTTACTATAGCCTGCGCTACATGCTTTCAATAAACTTTTTACAATAGATGGATAGCGATTCAACTGCCTGGAAATACAAGCAAAACGTCAGCATTTCGAACGAAGGCCCTTCGACTTTGTCTGGAAATTAGTAGTAGACGAAGACCGTTCAAAATTATATTATGCACCTGTATGGCTGTACTACAGTTATAAATATTGCAGTATTAAATATAATGACTTAGGAAAAGTTTAAATAGACCCCTTCCCGTGTTATATACGTTGGCAGGCAAATGTATTTTAAAAGCTCCAAAGAAAGCTTCGTATTATTATGGTGTATTAAACACAATGGGGAATGTATTATTTTATACAATCGTAATTTGCCAGCCAGCAAAATATAAACAAGGCAAGGACAGCCAAGGTTTTATACTCTATACTATAGTATAGTAACCATACGGTAAAATCATCCGACATATGCAGTAATAGCAGTATGCCTTGCCGTATTTTGTTTAGATACCGGTATATGTTATACATTTTACACTTTGAGTCTTTGTCTTTTAGTCTAGGACCTGTATAGATGTTTGTATGCGTTTCATTTAGCACAGGTAATCTCAACTGTTTTGGGGTAAAATAACCATGGCGGTCAACATGGCATATGTGCCAAAACCTGAATCCGGGGCGAAAGTCCTGAAAATGACCCCGCCCTGAAACGGCAGTGCCGACATAGCTCTAACTTCCGAAAAGCAAAAGCGACAGGCTTTCTGAAGTGCTTACAGTGTTTAGAAGGGTTGCTTTTAGGGGTGGTCATTGGAAGCAAAAATTTGTCTAAGTATAATATTTTACCAGAAAATGACTATGCACCACCCCAGGTAAATTGCTGATTATGCACAAAATAACTAATATGCCTGGCAGAAATTTAATGTTCTTATTTCCTAAAGAAAATTATCATGGGATGAAAAACTATGCTTAATTTAATATAATTATTGTAGTTTTCATAAGGATTGTCATTGTTTTCTTTAAATATAATACATTTTAATTCACTCACCCCCCACGAAAACACCATTTCAGCCATACTTTGCCGTCTTGTTTGCTTTTTATCGCCGAGTCTCGCTGATATCATCCAGCTGTTGTACTTTTACATAATGATAGATGGCTAAAGACGATCTCGACGAAGTTTAATGAAGTTTTGAAACAGTGCAGTATATTTTATTTTCGATATTGTGTCCTTCGATATTTCGTCAAATTGCCGCCATTTTAATGGCTCGCCGCTTCTCTGCCCGATAAATGCCACTTCTTCGTCTTCCTATGTGTTTAGACTACAGTATCCAGGAGTACTTCGTTGTAGAATAGTCCCAATCGAAAAAATGAAAACATTTGTTGGGTTTTGCCATCAAAACCCCCCAGGTAATCATTTAGGTTCAAAATAAAATACAAAGCACTTGAAAGTCACGCGCAATCTTCGCGAAAACTTCTCGTGGACACATGACAGGGGGGGGTGAATATTTTCACGAAACGTTAGTTCACCACCACACTGACCACAGAAACCTAAAATATATTGTATTTTTATGAAAATATGATAAAACTACCCACATATTTATTGTTTTTATCATAATTCATAAATAAATACAATATATTTTAGGTTTCTGTGGTGGCGAACAAACGTTTCGTGAAAATATTCACCCCCCCCCCCTGTCATGTGCCCACGAGAAGTTTTCGCGAAGATTGCGCGTGACTTTCAAATGCTTTGTATTTTATTTTGAACCTAAATGATTACCTGGGGGGTTTTGATGGCAAAACCCAACAAATGTTTTCATTTTTCGATTGGGACTATTCTACAACGAAGTACTCTTGGACACTGTAGTCTAAACACATAGGAAGACGAAGAAGTGGCATTTATCGGGCAGAGAAGCGGCAAGCCATTAAAATGGCGGCAATTGGGCTATTACATTTAATATCCGTACCCCTCCTGTCGAGGACCTCCATATTTTACTGTTTGACCCCTATGGAATCAACCGAAATACTGTCTCGACACCCCTTAGGAAAGATGTTTTGCCCCATCTGGAATAGTGTTTAGCCCCCTCTGGAAATGAATTTTTTTCACTGTTGCCCCCCTTTGGAAAAAAAACCTTCGACCCTAACCAGCCAAGTATTGTCTGCAACAGATTTTACAATGAAAACAGTGAACAAGCCCCCTTTGGAAAACAATAAACACCCCCTTGGAATTATGACCCTACTACCCCCCCCCCATGGAAAAGCAGCTAGCATAGTAAATATGCAACATGAGCTCCACCTTTGAATTTAGTGAACAATACACAAGTATTGAACAAATAAGAGAAGGATTAGCCGTTATGCATGATGAACATGTTTTGAATCACTCAAGCAAGAACTCGTCAGAAATAATACAAAGCAAGGAAATAAAAAATGTAAACGTTAACAGCACCTCCAGTCATGTAATTATTGTACAGGACACAACCTCCTCGGCTATGGAGAGGGTCCTGAAGGGGGGGGGGTCCCAATCCCATTTCCCACCTGAAATTTTGGCAAAATCCCAGTCCCAGTTGGATTTTTATTAGACATCCCAGTCCGAGTTATTGAAATTCCAGTCAATAAAAAAACCTTTATTTATCAGTACAATAAACAGTTTTAAGACTTTTAAGCCATCGTGTGTGCAAGTGGCACAGACTTTATGAAATTTGGGGGGGGGGGGGTTGTGTCGAAGGCACGGAAATTTTTAAAATTTGAATCCCGGAAATGGCATTTGCAGCATTCTGAGACACGCATAATCAGAAAACCCAGAATTCCGGGCGCCAGAGTATGCTTGTTCGCAGGTAGTGCTGTGAATAATATAGTTAACAACAAAAATCATGACCAAAGACACCAAAAACGGACCAAAATTGTATTTTAAAATACTTAAAACGTAGAAAAATTGGGAATCGACTCGCATTACCTCAATCCCATTCCCATTTTTGAGGACTTCATTTCCCATTCCCAGTGGCCAAATCCCAGTCCCAGCAACCCAAATCCCATTTTCCCAGTCTAAAAATAGATCAATCCCAGTTCCCATTTTACCCCTTCAGGACCCTCTATGGAAACAATACCCAATCAAGACAAACAATATGACTACAATGTCCATTGCCCGGTTGGTAATAGCGATCGACCTTTAACAGAGATCATCGAACTGTGTGAAGATGTAATTAGTATTGATCCAGATAATAGTTTAAACAAAATCCTGCAGGAAAACTGTTCATTACTTAAAACCCCAACAGAAGACCAACAAAGTGTTACATTAAAATCAACCCACTGTAATGAAGCAGCGGAATCAGGGTGTGAAATTAATACTATTACTAATCTGGCGAATGGCGAATCTCTTGCTCCCGAAACATACCAATCGAACGAAGAATTGTCCCATTCCATGCCAGCGAAAACAGTTAATTCAACTTTAAAAACGCAATCAGAAAAATCGGGTCCCTCCGAACAGGTCAGGGCAAAAAGCAGTGAATTAGTTTTCGGACAAACGCCAAAACAAAACACCGCAAATAAGGTCAAAGGTCACAAGTCAATCAAGTGTACAAAACGTTTATCGAAAGAGATATATTACGACAACAATATATCTGGGCTAATCGATAAAAGTGAAATAAATTGCAACCCAGGGGTGCCTGTCAGACATGCGGAGTGGGTGGGACGGCTACCTTTGATTGAATCTTCATATAAGTCTGCATCGTTAAGAAAATCTACGACTTTAAACGATTTCCAGCGATCGTGTAAGAGAAATTTTCGGAAGAGTCGTTCAAACCACAGTCCCCGGGACTGGCAGAGGTACTTCGAATTTGTTCGGAAAACGTTACATCCTCGTGTGACTCGGCCTCCAATTCGCCTACGAACAACAAAGTAATTCCTATTGTTATGTCACAATGTCGGACCATACGTCATCGCATTGCAAGTTACAATAATATACGTAAACGAACTAGTAATCCATGCAACCTGGTAAATGTCCCTGTAACTACTAGTAACCTGGAAAATCACCGAGACTACTGCGCTGTTCCATCTCTCTTTGTTACCAATTTGAGAAACAGAAAAACTGTCCATGCGTATAATAATTTAATCCCACTACACGCTAGTGAGAACCACACTAGCAGAAATACGTGTAGTACCCCATTAACCCCAAACGATCAGATATCAGTTCCCTCTAGTCTCAACATTGTTCACTTAAACATTCGCTCGTTAAGAAATATCGTTCACCTTACTGAGGTCAAGGAACTAGTAAAGTTAAATAATATCGATGTCCTCACAATTTCCGAATCGTGGTTAAATTCCTCAGTAACGAACCGTGAGATTGCAATCGACGATTATAAGATCCACAGACTTGATCGGTTACACAAGAAAGGTGGAGGTGTCTGTGCTTATATCAAGAAGAATATTAAAGCAACTGTCTTAAAAGATTTATCGAAGGTGTCAGTTTCTAACTTTCATCAACTATGGATAAATCTACAATGCCAAAAAAACAAATTAATAATAATTTGTGTAACCTACCGACCACCTGACACTTCTCTAAATTGTTTCGAAGATTTACTTAAGCCAAATTATGTTCAGGCTTTAACTTTGAATAAACAGATTTTAGTGCTCGGTGTCTTAAATTGTAACATGCTAGAAAACGGCCAAGAGTGGAGAGCGCTAACAAATTTTTCTACAGAATTAAATCTCACACAGATTATTAAAACTCCAACTAGAATCACGGCGACGTCCCAAACGCTTATAGATGTTATTCTAGTCTCATCCACAGCTCTTGTTCTTGAGAGTGGTGTTATTAACACTTCTATCAGTGACCACTTACCAGTGTACGTCCTACTAAAGTTAAAGACCCCAAAGATGCCAGCATGTTACATTACAACTAGGAGTTATAAAAACTATAATCCCTCACTATTTTCCTCTGACCTTGTCACTAAATCGGATCGTCTGTTATCCATATTATCCAACACCAACGTTAATACAATACTCGAAACCTTCAAAGATGTTCTTCACTCAACTCTCGACGTGCATGCACCGTTAAAAACCTTCAAAATTCGGAATCGATCATGTCCATATGTCACCAATGAAATAAAAGAACTCATGAAGTCTCGGGACCTACACCTCCGTCGGTTTCAACTGACACGTGATGAAGGTGATTGGGTAGTTTACAAAGAATATCGTAATAACGTAAAAACCAAAATTAAAGCCGCAGCGAAGGACCACACCTTCAACGAAGTAAGAGAACATAAACACAATTCGAGATCCCTATGGAAAATAATTAATAATATAATTCCCTCGAAGGAAAAGGAAACACAAGTTTATAGTAAAGATCCAAAAACAGTTGCAGAAGATTTCAACCTTTTTTTTACTTCTGTGGGACGGAACGCTGCTGCGACAGCCGAAAGTTTAGCCAAAGACAACAATGTTGCACTGTCAAATCCTCTGTCAAATGTAATCACTTATCCATCTGATCAACTGTTCAATTTCCAATCCGTTACTTGTACAGAGGTTCAACGCATTATCATGGCTATGCCAAGTAATAAGTCACCAGGACCAGATAAAATAGGCATGCGTGTCATCAAAGACTGTCTTCCAATCATACTGGGTCCTCTTACGCATATGATAAATTGCTCTCTAATGACAAGCACATTCCCTGACCTACGGAAGATTTCTGAAGTTATACCCCTACTAAAAGAAGGAGACCACGAGATAGCCCCAAACAATCGGCCTCCCTCACTACTCGAGGTAGTTTCAAAAGTTTGCGAAAAAGTTGTTCTAAATCAATTTAGCTCCTACCTCAAAGAATTTAATCGCATATCGTCACATCAAAGCGGGAATAGGAGTCTTCACTCCACCGAAACCTTAAACATATTTGTTACCGATACGATGTTGGAAGCCATAGACAACAAAAATCTAACGGCACTAATTTTATTGGATTTATCCAAGGCATTTGACACTGTCAGTCATTCGATTTTATTACACAAATTGAGTTGTATCGGCCCTTCACCCGAAGCTGTTAAATGGTTCCAAGACTATTTAACAGGCAGATCCCAATACGTGCGCATTGGATCCACCAAGTCATCAGCTCGCCCAATAACCCATGGCGTTCCACAAGGTGCAATACTATCACCACTTCTGTTTTGCATCTATATTAATGATCTGCCAGGGAGCATACAATCGTGTAACCTTGATTCATACGTAGACGACTCAAAGCTTTACAAATCATTCTGCATCTACGACTTGGAACAGACAACTATCAATTTAGAGGCAGATCTACAAATAGCAGCCAAGTGGTGTTTGGAGCACCAATTACTGATCAATCCAGAAAAAACTAAATTCCTTGTAGTCGGTTCAAGACCCATGCTGCAGAATGTACCTACAGAAATATCGCTATCATTTTTAGGAAAGACTATAAGACCTATTTTATTAGCTAAAGATTTGGGAATCAATTTGGATTCGTACCTCTCCTACGACGACCACATATCTAAACTCGTTTCGTCGTGTATGAGAAAACTATATCAAATAAATCGCGTGAAGGATAGTTTCGATAATGAAACATTAAAATTGGTCATTGAGACACTTGTAATTAACAAGCTTCTGTACTGCTCTACGGTGTGGTCCAACACGTCATCTAACAATATCAATAAACTTCAATCAGTGCAGAACTTCGCGTGCAGAGTTATATCAGGGGTAGGAAAGTTCGATCACATAACTCCGGCGTTGCGCGAACTAAATTGGTTGCCAGTGGAAAAGTTATTATTGGAAAGGGATACTGTAATGGCTTACAAGTGTTTTAATGGACTTGCACCTGACTACCTAGCAGATAAATTTATAAAGCGTTCCGACATACATGATCGATCGACAAGAAATCATGACCTCTTGGACATCCCTCTGTATAAATCTGCTGCAGGTCAAAGAACATTTAATTACCGGGGTGTTAAAATATGGAATGACTTGGAAGATAAACTAAAAAATATTACATCAATAACAATTTTTAAGAAAAAACTTAGGGAGATTTTACTAAAAGAATCCTATTAAATACATTTAATATTTCATACTCTTTGTACATATTTTAACTAATTTTAAATAAGTATATGTAACATAGGTAGTTTTAGAAGTAATTTATAGTAATTTTAATATGTAATGTAGTGTTGAAAAGCCCTTAGGGGAACACGCAATAAAGTATCTATCTATCTATCTATACGAGTAAAATGGTTAAACATGTCCGAATTTATCAATACAATAAATTTCAATACAATAAATTAGATTTTAATTTTTAAATTAGATTGGGGTTAGGTGCCGCAAATTTATCATATTTCTAATAGACTTGGACATGTTTAACAATTTACTCATATTATACTGGTAAATTCAAAGGTGGAGCTCATGTTGTAAATATGACACACTTGGAATAAGTCTAACCCTAAGTATAGATGAATAAGCAAAGCCTAAGAATATACAGGGACAAAAAATTACCGGATAAAATCCAGCCTGCTTGCATGGAATAGCTCCCGTGCTATCCTGCCCCCCCCCCCTTCCCACTTTTAAACAGGCTCCGAAATTTGATTGCCAACGTAAAAGACACTCTTTTTGATAGGCTTAACGCTCTATATTACTGTATGCACTCAAAACGAAATAAATATCTTGAGAAATCCATGCATTAACTATGGATTCAAACAATATCCATTTCATGTATTAAAGTTGTATCTTTTTACTATCGTATTGCATAAACCAGCTATCTCTAAAACGGGGAATGAATGAACTGGGAATATCGGGAGTGGGGGAATATCTTTAAAGATCTATAAAAGGGGGAATATCGAGGAACATCTAAATTAAAGACCAACGTTTTTATCAATTTTTTATGACAAGAAAAGTCGATATTTGTTATAATATCTTTTTGATAATAGTAAGGTTTATAAACATTAAAAAATGACATTTTTTATTGACATTGTTTTTATAGCAAACAAAACGCTAAGCTTGCGAAATTACAATATAGCTTGCTAAATAAAGGGGCGGACCATTTGATTTTTGAGGGGGAGGGGGGTGTTTGGAAGATTTCGAAAAAAAATTTCCTGCAATCCAAGGAAAGAAAAAAATCATGCAGCATACAATCGAGATAAAAAATATCATGCAAAAGAGAGCGCTCAAAAAAAATTCCTACATGTAAATCTACTGACGTTCTTCACTTCAGTATTGTGTCCACAGGCTTGCAATATTTTGCATTTTTGAGCAGGCACATATGCTTAAAAGAACACGGGGTGAACAGTGGACAACATCACAGGGATTCTACCGCCTTTGGAGCCTATAACATACGATAGCCATGAAGTGGCGTTCCCTGGCAAAATTGTTGCCCCCTGAGAAAATCTGGGCTTAAGATATGTACAAGTTTATAAGTTATTTATACATATCTAATATGCATGGTAGAAAAAGTATTTTCATGTTTTATGTTTTATCTAGTTTATGTGAAACTGGCCCCACAATTTGCAGTGTGTAAATATAGCCTTCGGCTTATGTTATGTTAACTGAGTATATTTACAAATATCAAACATCTAAATAGTTTAGAGATCTTTTCAGTTACATCATTTAAAAATACATTATTTCCATTACAGTAACACCTTTAAATCGGGTTAGGATAAAACGCGTATACGGACGGACGGACGGATGGATGGATGTCGGACGGACGGACGGCTTTCAAAAAACTTTTTCAGCTTTTTTGAGTCATATCCGCGCTTTATCCAAAAGGATAAAACGCGGATTTGGTCCAAAAGGATAAAACGCGGGTATGGTCAAAAGAACGTTTTATAAGGGCATATCTATATATGTATAAAGAATATTGAATATTGTCCTAGAATTTGAACAAATAAAAATCAATGTCTCTTCGCTTAAATACTTACTGCGAGATAAGAGTTCTAAAGTTACAATTTAGTGTTAATAAAGTTTAAATTTAGTATCAGTTATCTGGTATATGTAGTACTCCAATTTTATGCCAACGTAATGTGCTGTTTTTCAAAGGCTTTTCAATGCAGTCATCGGTTTAAATATACCTACAATTCCCGTTAAGATATGAAAATTGCCGTCTGGCCTACTTTTAATTTACGCAAACGCAAAATTACAATTACAACTTTCGTGCTTAAATTTTCTATGTTATCTGGGTGGTTATGTAGTAATCTATTAATGCTATGCCAATCTAAGGTACTGTTTTTCAAGGGCTTTTTAATGCAGTTACTGGTTTAAATATACCTAAAATTCCCATTCAAATATGACAATTTCTGTACGGCCTATACTTTTACGCCACGCGAATTATAATTGCCACTTTCAGGATTAATTTTCTGTTATCCGGTCGTGTAGTAATCTAACTTTATGCAACTTTGGCATATACATTGGCATAGAATGCATTTTAAATTAGATTACTACACGTAATCATGAAAGTGGCAATTGTATTTCTGTGTTTGCGTAAAGTAAGGCCGTACGGCAATTGTCTTATTTTTAGTGACCTTTAGATATATTTCAACCGATAACTGCATTGAAAAGCCCTTGAAAAACAGCACATTACATTGGCATAAAATTAGATTACTACATACCCAGATAACAGAAAAAATTAAGAATGAAAGTTGCAATTGTAGCTAATTTGCGTTTGCGTAAAAGTAGGTCGTACGGAAATTGTCATATCGTAACGGGAATTTTAGATATATTTAAACCGATAACTGCATTGAAAAGTCCTTGAAAAACAGCACATTACGTTGCGTAAAATTAGATTATACTACTACATACCTAGATAATTGACACTAAATTTAAACTTTATTAACCGGCATTAAATTGTAATTTTAGAACTCTTATCTGGCAAGTTGAGTATTTATTTTTATTTGTTCAAATTCTAGGACAATATTCAATATTCTTTATACATATAGATATGCCCTTATAAAACGCGGATATGACTTAAAAAGAACTGAAAAAGTTTTCTGGGCCATATCCGCGTTTTATCCTTTTGCCTAAAACGCGGATATGACTCAAAAAAGGTTGAAAAACGTTTTCTGAACCATATCCACGTTTTATCCTTTTGGATAAAACGCGGATATTACTAAAAAAAAAGGCTGAAAAACTTTTTTTGGACCATATCCGCGTTTTATCCTTTTGGATAAAACGCGGATATGACTCAAAAAAGGTTGAAAAACTTTTTTTACGCGGATGTGGTCCAAAAAACGTTTTTATGTTTTAAAAAGGGCTGAAAAACGTTTTTGGAAGCCATCCGTCCGTCCGCCACTCATCCGTCCGTATCCGCGTTTTATTCTAACACCCTTTTAAATCACTCATTGTGTCAGGATATGTCAACATTCACTGTCACTCAAGTTTAACTTAGTGTAAGTCGGCTTCAGACAATATGAACAGTAGAAAACTTATATACCAAAATGACTGATTTTCAGTCTTCAAGTAAGAATTTTAAATTTGTTTCAGATTCTTCCTCATGCAGTCCTGCGCTTTTTTCAATTTGGACATTAGACATGACTTTTTTTGCTTGAGTCGTGATAGTGACCCACTATCAGTATTCTTTCCTTTCTCCATTCTTGACATATTTTCTTTACATCAGTTATCTCATCTCTGAGCTCTTTAACTCTTTCCCAATTTTTGCATACTGTTTTCTTAGTATTGGGTGTTGCCTGATGTGCCCCTGAGGCAAGATTGGCATCCAATTCGTTTTGAAGTATAGTGGCTTTTTCCTTTCTCCAACGTTCGTTGATGCATTTTGCAATGTGTTCACGAGATAGGTTCGTTGACCGCGAGAGGTTTTTTGCCTCCTGGTTCCGAAACTCTCTCCTTTGTTTCTCGTACCCCACAGCTGTATCTACTTCTTGTTGACTATAAATTTTTATACCTTTCACCTCCCATTGTTTAGGATTCCGCAGAAATGAACTTATTGCCATTCGGGGGGTTTTACCTTCAACATGGTCTCGACCTTCTCGGGGCAACTCTGCCAACTCAATACTATCATCAGCAAAATGTTTCGAACATTCCGAGGTACTTTGCTCTTCTAAATCCCTGCCGTCGGCTTCACACTCATAATTTGTTGATTCAAGGTTTTCATCATTTTCAGCAGCAATAGCTACTTTATGCGTTGTTTCACTGTGCACGTCTTCGCTTGCCCTGTGATCATCACTTAATAATTCCTACGTCGATGGCTTTATACTGTTCTCTGATTCACTCTCATCGCTGTGGCATTCCTCATATTTTCTTTTACGGCCAATGTTACTGTCCTTTGATGATTTTTTATTTTCACAGGTGCCGATATCCAATTTTAGGATATTCCTGTTATCACAAGAAGCTTCTACAATCGTCACATCTTTAAGATAAATTAAATTTTCCTGATATTCTGATATTTGAACACCATGAAAACTAAAATGATAAGAACCTGGCCGCTCAAAAACCCATCCTGTTCCAGCTGTCTGCGCAACTCTGACAAACTTTTGCTTTCAATAAAGTAAGGAATATATAACAAAAACCAAACTGTTTTCTTCGAATATTTTGATTACAGACATTTCGTTTATATACCTCTGTTTTCGAAGCAATATTATAATTGCGACTGTGTTGACCTTGCCATGTGGGCGTTTCTATGCTTGTTTGTTAATATGTGAGGGATTTTCCCCGAGTAGATTTGCCGCAACGTAAAATATCTGTTGTGGTTATGTTTTGTTGTCCGACATCTCCAAATTATATAATAATATATATTATTGTAATTAATATGTTATTCTTTATTTCTACCACACAATTTTAAACAAAGAAGATACCCTAAAGACTAAAAATATTAAAACATGTTTTTACTTACAACTGTCAAAGCCCGCTTCCATCATCACGAAATTTTAATTATTATGTATTATACTGTGGACTTATACAATTATAAGGCTATTATTACTGTAAAGATGTGCAAAACTTGTAAACCGCATTAAAGATCAGAAAGTCGTGTTAGAGGGATGTTTATGAAAGTTAACAACACTAATTTAAGTTTTAATAGCATGCTGATGACGCGTGAGATTGTCCCTATGGGCAGA